GTTTCGGGTCATAACTATGCAACCATAATGCTTCAATTCTGCTGATATTGAAGGCTGTCACTGGTTTGTATTATACTGTCTAGTTAGTAATTGCAATCAGCTAATGACTCTAATTTTAGATATTTTATTTATTTTTCTTGAGTTTTTCATCGAAAATGAAACTTTTATCTTTATTTTGCATTTTTGCATAATAAATCTGTGTACAGTAGAGTTGTAATGAAAATATAACTCATGCCTTCAAATTGAAAAAACTCACAAGGATGCTTATATATAAAAAATTGTTTGTGAAATGCGCTAAATTGTAATTTCAGCAAAATAAAAATCTACTGGCTTCATCTTATATTGTTGTAATTCATCAACAAATAGTGGGGGGGGGGGGTTTATGTGGCTTTATTTTTGTATGCAATGCATCTATCAACATGTGAGGGCGCCATTAATATTTAATTGCATTCTATACTTTAACAGAGCCAACACCGCCACCTTTACCACCTCCGAAAGAACCAAAAAAGAAGAAAGTTATCGTCAAGAAAGAGAAGAAGCCCATTGAAAAGCCACCTCCAAAGACACCGACACCCCCTCCACCTAAAGAACCTACACCACCACCACCACCCCCTCCTTTACCAACACCACCACCACTCCCTCCTCCACCAGATTTGCCGCCGCTTCCAATTGGTAAGTCTTTCATAATGGAAGAACCTACTCCAGCACCTTTACCTTTTGTAACACTACCACTACTTCCCTTTCAAACAGGTTTACTACAATGTCCCATTGGTAAGTCTGTTTCAGGTTAAGTATTTATATTAAATGTAAATGCAACTATTAAACAAAGGGACCCGTGACTGTCTTTTTGATCTTTTTAAAAGATTACTATTTGGGTATTGCCCTTCAGGAGAAAATATAATAAAGTACTATTTCATGAAACATTTGTTGCTTTAATGTAAACACAGATTTTTGTTCAGTTTTTTGGAAAAAGAGATCAAATATATCCACCAAGTTTTACTTTGTATTTTTTGTCTCAGTATCATCAACAAAATATGTTAATAATTGCATTCCAAGCTGAATTCATAAAGTTTGCTAAAATTATAGTAAAAAATATTAAATATAAAAACGGATATCCTATTCTGCTTTACTGACTTCTTTGAGAGTACTGGAAGCTCTCATCCCTTATACAAACATATCTACAATGTATCTATACTTCAAGGATAAATAAATCTCCAGAACCAGGTGAGCGTCTGTTGTTTACAAATCTAGTTTAATCTACAAAACTAGTTTAATATTCTGCAGCTAATTTACCATTACCAATCCAACATTTGATGGCGTATAGTCAGGGAATAAAAAGTGGGAATGTAAGTGTACACCCTTGAGTACCCCTCAATACATACATGTTGCGATTATGTCTGATGTCCTTTTTTTACCATATCATTTAATGAACAGTTCTGATGTGTGTGATATATTATAGTTGGTAGACTGACTTAAACATTGTATATTTAAGCAATAACCACCTCCCACTCGACTTTTGACCACTTCACTACTGTACACACTCGCTATTGCTTGTGCATATACCTTGGTATGTTGTAAAACTGTTCCAAATCTCAGGGTATAATTGCCTTTAAAGGAATTTATTCCTATTATATTCTACCAACTTCATTTTAATGGTAACTCTGAGATTTAGAAATAATTTTAAAGTCATGTTAAATGTGATACAGTGTATGAAACTCAGTACTTACAGTGGTTAAATGAAATGAGCCCTGGAACCAGCATACCCAAAGAATTACATTT